ACGCCTTATCTTCCATATTATTGCAAGATCGGCCTAATCGCGTCACAAACGAAGGAAGAGATAGAAAAACAAATGACTTCAAAATTCGCTCAGAATCATCATATAAGCCCTCTCTCTCAGAGAGTGGGCTAAAAACGATGTATTTCAGCAAGTATTAAAAACTTTTTTATATTTTAGGCCTTCTTCAAAATGCCTATGCCTACAGCAGTTGATTTTTTTTTGCCGCAAAACCAAAATAGTTTTATCCATGCCGACTTGCCGATCGTCCAGCGTGAGTCCTGACTGCCTGAACACTGCAGAAACTTCACATCGAATCGGACTTCGCATCGCGAGGAAAAACAAAATGTCGGAAAACTTTTTTTACGCATGCGCATTTGCATAAATGTCTACACACGCACGCACACACTACACACAGGGAAAACAGTGAAAAGTGATTACAATGTTCCTATCTGTATCACATGCATAGGAACTAAAAAGAAAGTTTTTAGTGTTTTTGAAAATGTCTATTGACTTGACATGTTTGATATCCTTTGGTATATTGTTCCACAATCTTGTACAGTTACTAAGTGCCATTCATTCTTGATCTAAATAAGCACTGCATTGAAGCTCCTATCAATGCTATAAGCAGGACGTTAAGCATTATATATGCATAAGCAGCACGGTGCTTGATTGGAACATTAACGATATGTGTACAAATAAAACAACTTCCACAAATATTCATATCCACTTATACTTCATTTTATTTTTGCTTTTTACATACACTGTACATTTTATACAAATTATTCAATGTGTCGTCATACCTACCAATCATTTACAATGACAGGCATAGTCAACAAAATGATAATTTAAATTATCAGTGTTAATCAACATACTTTGTCTCTAACATGCTGAGATTGCACGTAAATATCGGTACTATCAAAGCACCATGTGGGAACAAACGCCTCGGCTCTAGAATTAGACACGTTAAAATTTATCTTCATCTGATCAATAACAAATTCAGAAATAATAAAATATTTTAGAAAATTCAAATTAACTTTCAATAATACACTACTAATTTTTCTTGATACCTGATCAATTATAAACAAAATTTCAATGTAGCATTCCCTCTATTAAATAGCGCCCTCTACAGTTATTTTGCCATTAAGTAATTTAATCATTAATATCATAATTTATGAGACACCATCCCTATGAATACATCATCACAGGTATTAATAACTGATTATCATAGATCTTTTTTAATGAATTAAATATTTTTTGGCTAAATATAAACATAATTTTTTTTTGTTAATTATGAAAATTCTTCATGGCCTGCTACAGTTCTTTGGTGAAATGGCTGTATAAATTGAAATGTCTAATAGGTAATAATCATTAATTAATTTGTGTACTTCGAATTAATCATTTTTTAAACTATGAACGTTCTCAAAGACAAACACTACGCTTGTAAAATCTCGACAAAAATAATATTTATACAATATGAATTACATGATTATCAGTTTAAAAAAAAAAGTCAAAAACTAAATTAAATTCATCAACAAATTCACAGTAGGTGTTTAATAAGCCAAATATCAATAAATATTTTTTGTGAATATTCTTGTAAAAATTGTAACCTTATCAACTTATCTGATTCTAAATTTAAAATGGTTTTGATTTATATTTTCAGATCAGCTATTAATATACAGTATTCTCAGAACCTTAAACTTAACCAATACCAAGGTTTTGTTTGTATAAATAATTAATTTATAATTAATATAAAAATTATCAATTATAAAATAATTATTGAATGTGCCTGCTTTCTTGATATGTATATGAAATATCCCAAATATTATCACTGAAAGCAACTCTTCCCAAACAAGGCTCCTCTTAGCAAATTCTAAGTAATTCCTAAAGGTATATTCTAAAACATTCATTTCCCTTCATTAATATTATTGGCTGAAACTGTAACAGCCATTCAACACAACCATGCCTTTTATAAAACAGCGCCCTCTACATTATTTATCAATAGTAACACACACATACACAATATATATATAATCACATACGATTAAGTAAATATGTAATCACTGCGTAAACACATTCACAACACGTAAGATTACACTCCTTATAGGCAATACACATTCCCCTTGGAGGCAATACCCTTGCCCCTTCTCATCAAATAGACCCTTATTCTTACAACACCAGTAAGGTCTTCAGAGACTATGAAAGAGGTTTTAAAATTGATTGCACATTTTCACGTTTATCATTGAGAAAAATAAAAATTGCCATAGCACACAATTTTCTAAGTTCTGATATGCAATTCCATGTTTTTCTAACTTTAATTTTTAAAAGTTTGTAAATCATATGCTGGCCAATTTTCCTCTGTTGATAAATGAAGTATGTGATTCTTCTCAAAGAAGAAACACATCATTAAAGTATTACAGGCAGAGAAAAATCTGGTGTACTGTATTTAAGTATTTGACCTTTCCAACAATCTAGTTTACCTTCTCATTTATTGCGCTTCGGAACAAGAATTGAAATTACACGCCTTCAAAAGTTCAAAAACATTTTTTGGCATCTGGCAGTCAACTTTCACTTTCATCGAATATGCTGATACTTCAGGAAATGTTTCATAACTGTTGTTCAAATTATTCAAATGTTCTGCCAAACTTGTAAAGAATTGATTAATGTCTGTATTTGTTTTTCTTCATCTAGGAAAGAAGTCTCAAAACAGCTTGTTATGCTACTGACAATCGAGACATCTTGAATCTTGACAACAGTTGCATGGAAGGGTGTATTACTTAATCTTGACGTCATCGTAAGATATCAAATTTCAAGAATGACTGGAGCTGTACAGTCGTCCTCATTATCTGTTACCTACGCAACAAGGTTGGAAAACAGCTAGTGTACTGTAGTTACTGCAAGCTAAGTTTATTTGTGGGATGGTGTAGCTTTATTCCTGTAAAATAAAACATAAATATATGTTAAAACTCAACTTTACGAGAGTTTTCATAGATGAAACATAGGGCACGAGGTCTCCCAACACAAAATTGAGTCTTGTACCAGAAACCAAATAATGCTTATTGCAAACAGCATTTATTATTTAATCTAAACATATAATTTGCTATTAAATTAAATGGTGTTTTTGTAAAAATATTTTAGAAATTGAGATATGATTTTTAAACATTAGCATTTATGAGAAAAAAAATAAGACATTTAAACTATGAGGCAATGGCTACAGAGTGGCAGTCCAGTCAAGTTATTTCAAAAGTATGTTTGCAAGACCTTGTCCAATAGCCAATTAGAAATGATGAAACTTACTTTAGAGTCTTGTACTTGTCGCGCTCGAACGCATTGTCTGGCCCTTCACTCTCATATGATGCAAGATACAGGGAATTCTCGGAGAAGACAGGAGCTGTTAACAAATAATTTAGTGCTTTCCTGTCTCGGTCATACGGGCACTCTACGTTCTTCCATGTCATGAATACTGTCACTTGCTTGGCAAGCTGCCAAAATTTCTGAGGAAAAAGCACAAATTAAAATGTAATACATTTTGCAGCAAAGAAAAACACATCATTTCCAAACGAAACAACATTATAAAACAGTTGTGAAGTGCACATTCCTCATTTGAATAATTAAATAATCCTAATAATGCCCTATTTGTTGATCCAGAGTAGAATATGTAGAATAATATTTGCAGTCCCATAGTGTTCCATTAGAACTAAGATTCCCATCACGGTTGAAAGCAATGAATTGCAACATAGCCAATAACAGGATGGGCAGCTCAGGGTGATTACATTTTTAATATAAATAGCAGGATTAATATATGATATACCATAGTTCCTCTGGTACAAGCCCAACTCCTTGAATACAAAATTAGACCAATTTTGGAGGGTTGGCTTATGAAATCTAATTTTTACCACAAAGACTCCTTTTCGAAAATAACAGAATGTCTTATAATTTGTAGGGATGGTAAATCAAAAGACAATTTTCTAACACTTGCCTAATCCAAAGCCAATATTTGATTTTCTTTCCTGAAGGAATTTGTAAAGGCAGCTGACCTATTCATTCAAGTCATACCCTAGGCTTTTACCAGGGGAATGCGGGTACATAAAAGTGGGCATAAAGTAGAGGTGGGCTTATACTTGAGAAATTACAGTAAAAAAATATAAAATACAAACCAATCCTTACCTCAAAGTTAATGTGACCATTTGAAAGCTTGTTACTGCATCCCTCATTTAAGAAATATATATCCTTCACCAGCAGACTAAAAAATGGAATTACGATCCTGTCACAGGCTCCCTCTCTTGCGCTAAGTGCACGTTGCATTGCTGCACGCAGTGACTGTCGGTACGTTGACCAGTTATTTGATGGATCCATCTGATGCTCAAGTACTTCATATTTCTGTGTGTTAACTTTCGCCCACGTTTTCCGTAACCTCATAACAGGACTCATGTTTATCCCAGCTACAAGAAGACAAAAATTAAACATTAGTTATATAATAGCAAGGGCAACAGCAACAATAGAAACAACAATGCAGACATCATTATTAACCTCAACATTAAAATTAACAGCAGCAATCATAATTCTGCATTTATTTTAATGCCTCATGTAAAATAACCATTCTGCTAATGCAAGTTGAAAGTATATCTAAACACTAAAGTGCTTCTGCCAGAAATGAGGTACACTTACACATAATAGCCATTAATGAGTTGAAGTTTCCAATGTTGAAGCATTCTCTGGCAACCTCAATGAAATATTCAATCAATTTTGCCCTATGCTTTTTTTTGATGTGCATACAAATCTCTGTGGCAACCAGATAACTTAGGCGATTAAACCATTCCACATATGCTTCTAAATTTTTGGTCCTCTTCAAATCCCTGAATTTCATCTATAAAAAATAAAAAATCATTAAAATGAACACTGAAAGACAGATTTATTATATAAATTAAGAAAAACAAAGTTAAAAACATTAAAACATTTTTACTGTACAGAATAATTGTACATTGTCCTTAAATATAGTTTGATTGCAAGGTGTCAACTATTAAGAACTAAAATGTAAAAGAAGTAAAATGCAAAAATCAAGGTGCTAAAATAAAGGAGAATTATATTTAATAATTCTCAGCCATCCGGATATAAAGGTCTTGTGTTTTTAGAGCCGAGCACTAGCTGCACCAACTGTCAATGGTTGATGCGATTCTATGTACAGTATGCACAACGGATCATTTTAATGAAGTTCAGACTACCACAGACAATCACACCAGAATGTGTCGCGTCGTCTAGCGCTCAAAGGGAGCGGGGTTGGGTTTTTTGTACAACCCAAGTACTACCAACCTACAACGCAGTTAGTGCTGACTCAAAATTTAGCTACAGGAGACAAGTTGGCCTGACGATGCTTCCTAGATTGGATGCGAAATACTGCCACTTAACTACAATGGAAACGATTAAATTTTGAATACTAATTGCAAATCATGTTTTACCTTTGTGTCATCTACTCCTTCCTTGATAAATGCCTGTACAAATTCCTCCGGCCCAATATTGGTTAACCGTTCAAGTTCAATATGTGTTAATTGCTGAGCTAAAATGTACGGATCAGGACAAATGTCAATGATGTTTGTTTGGAAAGCCTCTGGATTAGTTCGTAAGGACTGCATTCTCTCAGCTGCCGCGGTCGTAACACGTGCTAATACGTCTTCATATTTTTCCAATGTGGACAGCTGGTTAAAAAAAATAATAAATCAATCAAGAATGATCAAAAACAGATAGTTTAATGGTGCAATTAACAGTAAATAAATTTTCTATTTTGGTTCTTTTTGAGTACAGTACTATTACTATTAAACAGAGGACATATAATTAATTTGTGTATAATATACTGATACTACAAATGCGCAATTCCAAATGAATTGATATAAAACCTTTTTTACATAGCTATGTAGGCTACTATACTACTATAATTGCATTTCACATATTAATGGTTTTCTCTTTTCTAGGTACTTGAAGATGTTATTACTGTAATTAGGTATACTGTATAGGCCTATTATTTACAATTACCATTCATATATTAAAAAAAATAATCAAAGTCATATCTGTGTGGTATATACCATCATCTTATGACACCTGTCAACGTCGATGTAGAACACAATAACTAATAGCATTCTTACCTTTTTAATGAGTGATTGCATGAGTTGTCCTACTGTTTTGCGCAACATTGGATTAATTGCGATGCATTTCTGTGTGATATCTCTGAGCTGCTTCATTAACCTTTCGTCCCTAAAGTCATATGGGAATGTTTCTGTCCACTCGCTGAAAAAATTGTAATATAAAATTTTATTTAGCGTGGGATAAACTTTGGAATCAAGACTTTTAGAATATTAACATTATTAATTCAATATTTTTGAATTAGAAGATTTTATACTAATTTGGCTCGATTTTATACAAAATTGACCATGAGTATAATCAAGTTCTAGATTTAAACATGATCAGTATTTTAATGAATTACCATGTAAGAAATACACACACTTGAGTGGTATTAGAGTTGAGATTGGCATATAGGTATCAGGCACTATTACAGTGGCTCCCCAAGTTGCATTTGCTTACACAAAAAATAAAATAGTTTTGATACAATTCCAAAATGTTAAAAATACATTTGTACATTGAAAAATATCAATTTATTGACACATCTATAACTATAAAATAAAATCAACATTACAAATTGGACTTCATCTCTCCAAAATTCTGATCCTTGTTTGAAAAACAAAACCCATATTTACTGCCCTCTAAAGTTTGGCAATGGAAAGCAAAAATAATATTTACTGACCTAAGAAGCTGCATCAGGTTAGAACAGAAATTACTCAGCGAAGATTTGTCAACGCTAGTTGAATTTAAATTTTGTTGTGAAATACAAAGCTGTAGATAGAAGATAAAGGAAATTATTATAAAACATTAAGAATTCTACTTATCTTAATTTTTCCCTAATAAATATCAAAAAAGAGCATTTTAAAAATCATTTATTGGTATAATTGTTCATTTAGATCAAAGTTATTATTGGTTCATCAGCCATAATATACACATCATGTTTGAAAAATAAAATCATTTTTTCTTGATTTACCAACTTTTAAAATTTATTACCAAGTTTTGAAGTCCATAAAAGGAATATCTTCCTGAACAGCATTATTAATTATGGGGAAATATTTTTCTAATTTTAAAATAAAAATTCATACATTGAACTACATTTTGAGTTTGTTTTTTTAGATCAAGACAGACAGAAAACCTACACGTTTAGAAAGATAATGGACTGTACAATCAAAAGAACCGTAATAATACTCAATCAAACTGTATACTGACAGAGGAAGTAGTGCAACAGTGTTCCAATTACATAAAAATGTTGGGAGAGGGTAAGGCGAAGGCAGAAGAAATAAATTATTATGCCTACCTGACAAACTTGATCTAATAATTGGTATGGTTTTATGTATAATCTGGAACTCAGCAAAAAGGCAAATAAATATGTTCTCTGTAAAAAAGAACCAAAGATTAAAGTAACTAACAAATATCATAGTCAATTGTAAATCATACATCAGGCCAAAACAAAATTTAAACTTTGTGATGACTAACCCAAAATCACAAAAACCTAAGGTCAGCTTTTTTGCATGAGCAACACATCAAAACATTCTTGAGCCTTAGAACTTGAAAAATATACTGTATTGGAAATGTACACATAATAGGCCTATACATTATTCAAGTAAACAAATAGAGGATAGAAAGACAAAGAACAAAAGGAGTTAATTTTGTTTCAGTTTCAATAGGTTTGTTTATTTTGTCTAAAATCTAGACTACAGTATTATCATGTTTTTGCAGTTGAAGTTCTAATTCTAGAACTTGTTTCTTTTACTAGGAACTAAACCACAAATCGATGGGTGGCTTTCTGGCAAGAGTAAATAACCTTGACTTCTATGATGTCAAATATTGTTTTTGTTATTCTTATTATTCTAGAAAACGAAAGTACATCATATTGTTATTATACCTAGGCCTATATCATATCATATGCTAATTTAATTTTAAGTTTTTATTAATATAAATTTGGATTGCTTATTTTTTTAAATGAAGTCATGTCAAATACAAAATCTGTTTATTCAACCAGGTCTCACTCCAATTAAAGACCACTTTTGGGACTGGAATTTCCATAGTATTTAGCAGCTTTGGTCTCTAATTATAATAATAAAGATAATAGACATTTGTTAATTTGGGACCATTAGAAAAGTGGTCTTTAATTGGAGGTGGTCTTAATTGGAGGGGATCTTTAATTAGACCTTTACACATTTAAAAGAAATGATTTTTAATAGTTAATTCCACAGGATTGAATTTAACTTGTGCTGATAATTCTGAAGAATAAAATGCACAGAAAGCAATTAAAACTTTGACATTTAAGTTCTACAATATCACCTTGAATTCTATAGAATTCCTCACCAGAATGATGATGGTATAAGTACACCAACATTTATTTAGAAAGGTCTAAATTAAGGACACTTTATGATTGAGGTATTTAATAGAGAAGGCTGAGGTATGCTACACTCCTTAACATGTGGGAGGCCAACAATGGTGTATCTTTTCAACACCCATACTTAATTCATGCTTAATGGTGTTGCAAGGCCTTTTTTTTGCAAATTGTGTGGGCTATGAGGATTTTGTGGATTTAGCCATAAACATGTTTACAATTAATAACTGTCATTGGCATAAGCTACCCACATGCCTACATAATATATTGTATGGAGTAATTCTTGTGATTTTCCATTCATGCTATGTACATAAATTGTAAGAATGTCACTGCAAAAATTGACAAGGACAATTTATTCTACACTTCCCGTTTATTAGCATTATCAGGAATAATACAAATATGAAGGAAGGAACACATACAGTACAAGTTACCAGAAATTAATATGCATTTATTTATTTTTATTTTAAATGAGGCAATTATCCAAACAGAGCAAAGTAGAACTTCTAACAATAATAGATAGTCACGATATGTTTACATTTCATTATAATTTTAGTTGATTCTACATTTCCAATAACAATTCTTAATATCTTGAATGAGAATAGATTTAGAGAATGAAATTGACTAAACTTTTTAGTCATTTTCGAACATATTTATTGCACCTAATAACAAAATAGTGAATTTCATTTTGGTCTTTAGATGTGAAATTGAACCAAATAATATTCTATATGAATAGCACTATTAAAAAATAATTGATTACAATAATTGTCATAATTACAGATGAGCTTTTGACAATAAAGTATCAATATGTTGGCCAAATAATACTCATTACAAATAAAAAATGAAATTATAATGTTTACGATTCCCTAGCGAATGACACTGAACAATACAACCTTGTTTTACGGTGTACTGCAATTACAAATTTGTCTTAACACATCATTTCTTTCAAGAAAGTTAAAGGATCATTTAAAATAATTTTTACATGGATGGGATCTGGACTTCATTGTTATACAGGGAATGCATTTAAGACCAAGGTATGGGTAATTCCTGAAATTGCAATATCATTGATTTTAATTCTTGATCCAAAATTATCTTTGAATGGGATGAGATAATACAGTTTTGCAATATCATTCAAATTGTGTTGACCCCATTCAAAGTTTTAAGTAGATTGAATTACTTGACATAAATCAAAGTTCTGAAATTAATAAAATAAGCAAACTAATTCATATTTTAATGGGGCATATAAATTGGTATTTCATGCCCTTGGAAATATATAATGAAAGGTAAATAATTAGGCCTATATTTAATTCAATAAAAAAAAAAATCTAAAAATAATTTTCCTTTAATGAAAATAATTTTCATTATTAATGTTTATATCTACTAATGTTCATTTGCATATTATAAATGACAAAAAAAAAACCCCAAAAAACTCACATCTGGGTAATATTCTCCTGTGGGTACGATATGACGGATAAATGCTTCCAAAGTTCCTGAAATTAAGTTTCCATCCTGGTATTCCAATGCCTGAAAGATTAAATAATAATACCATTAATATATGCAAGATCACTAAATTCCTTCCAACTTCAGGTATGTTAATGGAGCGTTACCTGCCTCCAGTTAACGAGTTAAACTAACGACGGCTGAATCACACAAATCAGCCGCAATAAAATGACTATGTATCCAGAAATTGTCTTCGCTGATATCGTAAACTTTCTACGATAGAGAAATAAAATCCAAGAATTGCTTTGTAGAATTTATGATGAATTTTAGTGTTCAGCATCATATCTACACTGACCATACACACACCAGGGAATGTACCTGGAAATAAGCCAGACACGTACATTTAATGCCAGAAACAAACTACAGTTTATGGCAAAGATTTTCCACCACTGAAAAATTCATTAAAAGGTAAATAATTTGTGAAGAACAACTAAATTACAGTATTTTCAACAGAATTATTTTAAATGTTTTTATTTTCCAATTACAATTTCTAACCAATCCATAGTTCATGGAAGCAATAAACTTTTATACTAGTATTTACAGTAGGTATAATTTATAATCACCATGTTATAATCATTGTACAGTATCTGTTGTAGGATGGCATCTATATTTGAAACGTATTCAAACAAGAATATCATTTTAGGTCATAAAATTTATATTCAAATTTTAATTACAATTGATTTCCAAACATAAAGAGTTGACAAATACAACATTTTATATCTATGTGAAAATTGCCACAAGGCAAATATTACAGTACAACAATATCACAATTGCATTAATTCTGAGATAAATATATGATTAATGAATAAAAAAATATTAAAAAATAAAAGTAAACTATTGAGCATCATGGAATATTATTTCATGATTGCATTGTGGACGTAAAATGTATGCATAGCAGAACAAAATTTGGAATTAAGACCTTGGATTTTAATGAAGGAAAATGTAATTGTTAAGTACAGTACTGGCTCATGAGATCCAGAATGCAATTGGTAATTAAGAGTGGCGTTTTGGAGGCGATACAAGGGGGAAGAGGACCCGTTCGGAAAGGAGCCATTCATTCTGTCATGGAACGATGCTTTAAAAAAAAAAGAAGAAGAATGTTTATAGTCTGAGAATTTCATTTCTGTGCCTATTCTTAAGACTTACTGGCCTCAGATTCAGTAATGGTGGGTGTGGACCCCTGTTGGAGGAATCTTTGGCACTGCCACTGCTAGTGAATGAAAGATTCTATTATGAAACTTTATATATGACAATATTGATAAGTATTACCTAGTGATAATAATGATGGTATAATATAAATAATGGAAGTATGTCTATAAATATGACAAAATAATTATGACAACAATATTCACAAAAATAATAAACTAAACAAAAACAATAAAAATCAATGTTTTAAAGTGCATTTTGTTAACTGATCAAAAACAGGGCAAATAAATTCATTATCTTTTATTCTTTCTACGACTAATCCCTTCCATTTATACATTTCACAAATAAAACCAGTGATTTGAAAATAAAGTAGTTTTTGAAATGAGACATAGTACTATTATCGTCTTCAACGCAGACATACTAATTGGCTGCGCATCGTTATGATTAATTAGATTTCCAGTTCGGTCTCTTAGATATAACTACTCATTTAACTAACCATCTTATAGATCCTACTGTATGTCGAATAATCAGTTGTTGTTTGTCTGCAGCCAAAGAATCGACACCATACTGATTACCATCTTTAAACTCATTATTGTTATTAACAACAATCCTGTTTGAATATTTTGTAATGTGCCGTGAAATTTAGGTTATTGCAAAGCTCTGCAAACCACACAATATTTTTATGCCTTTTGATATTGACAATAAAGAGCTTTTGTGCAGAAACTAGATATTGGCTATGAAAGCAATGAAAATAATTTAACAAGAAGATATATTATCTTTATCTAATTTTGTATGTATGTCGGTACTTTCAAAAAGTTGGCAGAATCAAAATATTAATCAAAATACTTTCTTAATTCCACGATACTGTTTCTCAAATGTCAAGATCAGATGACAAACTATTTCGGACTTTCATCAAGTAGAATTCATATATCCAATTAAGCCAAGATAATTTAAGTACAACTAAATAAGGGCAAATGCTATCGAAACATTGTTGTAATTTCAAATCTGAAATTGATACTACGTTATAATATAAATCTAAAAATTTGAGTTTTGTAAACTTACAAGCACTAGAATAGAGCAACTAGCAAAATTATTACACTTTCATATTCATTACTATAATAATCCCAATTTATCACTTGATAGAACTTTACACTACTGTATGTAGTGATACTGTAAGTTTTCATATCCAAAATTCATATACAGGTACTATGTAATATTATAATCATAGTCCCCTTTTTTATCTTTTTCGGGATGAGCTGTTCTCATGAATTTTAGTCTTTATTGTTGTTAAGTGCATAGTTCCCCTAATAATAGGTACCTTTATAGAAGTACATAATAAAAATAATTTCATTAATTAAAAAAAAAAATCTATATTTATAATTATTATTATTCACTAAATGGTTTCTAATAATGGAACAACAAAATGATTAAAAGAAAGTAAATAAAATTATGTTCATTTCTCAAATTAGGTATTTTAATCAAAATAAAAATCTAAACTGACAATAAATCATAATTCCTGAATACAAAAAAAAGAAGCTGCATGTAGAATTGTTTTTCAAAATACAAACACTGCCAGACATAATATAATACATAATAACACACCCAAACATAATATTACCACACCCCCACACAAAACTTACATGCACATACACACACACTTGCAGACACACTAACAACTCAATGCATTCAAGGACTTCTTTAAAGTTTCAACTGAATCATATCCTGTGATTTGACACGTGACAAATACCAGATTATGATTCCAAGGTACCTGCGTGCTGAGAACACCAAAAAAAACCTGACATAGACTACACATACCGGTACGTAGAGCCCTATCCTATTGTAGCACACTCTCATCAAAATTTATAATCTCTGAACATAATTTGCATATCAAGAATATTTTTTAAGATCTGTTTTATTTACACAATCTGAATCATATCTGACATCATCATTTTTTAATACTGTACGATTAAATAATTTTTATTGCAATGAAATTCATGTTCTAATGTCATGTATTTTAATGAATAAAGATAATTTGATGATATACATACAATATTACTTGTAACACAATTTAGAAACTAATGTATAATTGAAATAAAAATATTGATTCCTTATAGCAATGTGCAGATTCATATTTAAAATTTATATTGTATTTTAGATGCAGTTAAGTTCTTAGTCAATGTCTTTTACTGATAAAACACAATACAATGAAATATAATATAATATAAATTGTATCCATGCAAAGATTCAAAGATCAAAATATGGGAGATCAATTATTTATAGATGAATATTTTCTTGCAAAAGTGTGAAAATATAAAATGTATGAAATTAGAAACTACAGTAGTAATAAAATGTATGGTGCACAAGTACATATTAAAATATAGAAAAGCAATATGCTAAATTTATAATATTTCTGATTAGGCCAAATAAAATTAATTGCTAGTTTCACGTCCCAACCCTCATCAAATTTTGGAGCCTCATGAAAACATTTACTATTTGTTTTTTTTTTTCCAAAAAAAAAATTCATTTTTCCATGGACAAAAACAATCTGAAATAATGATGTCAAGCCTAAGAAGAGGTGGGAACATAAATGGCAGAAATACATTACAAAGATTCATTTTACTTCTTTTATCAAAAAAACAAAATAATTTTACTATTTACCAGCCTGTTTACCATTAGTATATAGGATAATAAATAGAAAATAGTAAATACCCTCCTCACCAAAAAATAATTTAAAATCCCTGGATGTGAAACTAACAATTAATTTTTATTTGGATTTATGCATCAAAACATTCCCAGACTAATTATTAATGTTTTGATAACCATGCTCTAAGAATAAAAATTTATCTGAAAAATTTGATAAGCAAATGTATAACCAAACCATGCACTCACTTCAAATACCTTAGAAATGCGTGATCCCTGATCACTGTGGCTCTTCTCAAAAAGAGCTAAAGCTCTGTCAGACGACATAAAATCCAAAAATCCCATTGTACTGATCAAATAAATACTTATTAAATACGATTATACTCAAGATTTGTCAAAAATGCTTGGGAAACACACTCAAGTTGACGAGTATAATAAATACTAGCTTAGAATTTTAACTGTCTACTGCATCTGAAAGCAAGCGGACTGTTGTCTGCTACTATTAAAACTGAACTCTTTGATTGCCTGCTCACTCAACTGATCAGGACCTTGCTGTGCTGTGTATAAATATGAAGCTATTTCTATCACATGTAGTGATGTCATAAAGTGTGGGCTGGCTATTGGAGGAAATAACAAGGGACATACAAACAGCTAAGAAGGATCTTGGATAGCAGCAGCATGCAGTCTGATGTGGTAGTATAGTAGTACTTTTTTTCAGTCAGCTTAAATGCAAGGATGTTTGCTATGAATGAAGTTTTATTTAAACATTTAAAACTTTTTTAATTAATTAACAGACTAAAACAAAAAGAACAACAACAAGACAGTTTTCAAATATTTTACCAATGGATAATTATCAAAAAGTAATTAAATCACATCCATTAATTCCTTTAAAACTTTTTTTGTATTAAAATGACATCTTAACAATTTAAAGCACCTATCCAAATATGTATTTTTTTATGATTAATTCAGTGAGGTTTACAATAAAATTTAATGAACCAATAAAGTTTATGGCAAAGATTCCATGACAGTCTCTACTGAATTATGATTAATCAACTTCTTTTAGATTACACTTTTCAGGTCAACAAGCAAAAACATCGGAAATTGTTAATAACTTTGTAAAAATATGCTGCTAATTTTTGACCTCTGATTTTCCAATTTTTTTTTTCCAGATTTTGATAATACAGGTCTAGACTATAACTACTAATCCAGACATACCTCCAACCGTGCCAATTTGCTAGTTTTCGGTTTTTACAGAAACCTCAAATGAGACAAGTTTCTTAAATTAGATTATTCTTTAAAAATTCATTTTTTAATACAAATTAAATAAAAAATCATAATTTTATACAATATCCTTTTTGTACACTGATCTGTAATTTAATTCTGTATGTAATTTATGTTATGTGATGAGAACTAGTAATAATAATTAATCATGTGTTATCTGTCTCTGTAATTCAGGGGGTTTTTTGTGTTTGCCTATTAGGCCAAATAAATTAAATTGTTTGTTTGCCCTTCTTTTTTTAAAAATGATAAATAGGTGTGGGTGGGAAAATTTTTTTATTTATTTATTAAAAAAAAAAAAAAAAATTTCAGATGGAATAAAATAACCCACAGAGGCCTAGAATGGCAATATCTTACATCAGACAACAACATAAGACTAATTTGTAGGGCATCTGGCAAAAACATAAAAAAAATTCACTCACATTTTTTTTAATTTGTTAAGAAAAAAAGCTAAAAAAATACTTTTTTTCAGTATTTTGGGGGTTTTTTCGCCCCTATTTTTTCCAGTGAGTCAGGGGCAGGTGGAGGAGGGCAAACAAACATTTTTTTTTGGCCTTATAGTGTATATATTCTTATATCCACAATGTACTGTTTAAAACAGGAAGCTTAGCTCTACCTATTAATAGTATCCTTGGTTTTTTGCAACAACTATAAAAGGATGATTAAGAATAATTTTAATCACAATAGGCATACTCTATCCTCTTAATAATCACATAGATAATATATCCATCCCCTCCCATCATACATACATCCACCCCACCCATGCCAACACAATCACACAAAATAAAATATCAGTATCAACATACACATACATCTAAAGTATCCACTCTTTAGCGATGGAAACAAAAACACTCACAAACTAGACCATCTTCAGATCACATTTTCCAATAAAAAATAAAACCAACGAATATTATCGATGGATAAACAGAATTCAAACAATTTCAGTTTGTTCCCTTCTTACCTGCTGAGCCATGCTTAAGCTCGCTTTCTCCCAGCAAATAAATACAAATTAATAATTATAACAATTTTTTATTGCTGATATTTAACAAGAATAGAATTATGTTTCTTTCAAACAATAAGGGACTGTGCTGAAAATAATTTACAGATTTTCCTATTGTGCGAAAGTAATGATAAACCATCTAAAAATATCTCAGCAACAGGATTTGGGATCAATACACTTCCTCATTTATATGATTTTTTAAGTTACCATTTGTTGAACTACATTTTGCAATATCTAACTGTAAGTAACATACATTTTTTATCGCAGTGACGTGAATATCACTCAAAAGTCAGTTTCGCTACTAGTATCTATTGGTTGAGTAGTAACCAATTACAAAGCAACTATAAAAGGAAATTTACTCATGAGGAATGTTTAGTTTTTGAATTACTGTAGTTTCGATAACTATACTTTCACCTAATAATTCTATGATTTTGAATATGTTATTCAAGCAATAGAATATATAACAGAACCTACATCAGTGGAAGAATTTGGAAGAAATCATTTCCAGAAGATTCGTTTAAACCAGCTTTCTAATAGCACTTGAATACATCAAGCATTTTTTTATACACTTTAAATTCAGTTTCAGTCTCAAATCAGCTGATTAATATACTAACAATTACAAACACAACTATAAATGGCAATTTACGCAATTTTCTGAGCGTTGGTTTAATATTTGAATCAGTTTCGATAACTACACTCCTAATTAGTAATACAAACTGTATTATCTACTCTAAACTACTAATTTAAAATAAAGTGAAGTACTATAGATGCGAAAGATGTGTTTAAATGAAATGCTGCATTTGAGTTAACAGACCAAATCAGTCACCAAACCAAAGGCATTACAGTAGGTAGGTATAACATGAAAACAAACTGCTAGGTGGCAGTTTTTTCATACAATAATAAGCCTATCTGCTCGAGTAAATTTTGACAGTTTTAAAAACTCTTCAAACTTATGTATTTGTACCCTCTCTCTCTCTGGTCACATGGTGCCAATTTGCGCTGCTGTGGCCTTCACAAGAGCATGCCATCTTCTTCTGTCTGATGCCAAATGAGTTGCACCATACATTCCATGTGTCGTAACTTCCTTTATGTCATAAATCCAAGATGTTGATGTACATCCCCTTCTACGATGGCCTTCCACAGCTCCCTGAAGAATTTTCCTTTCAATTCCACTATCCTTTCTTACAATGTGACCAAAGTATCTTAGTTTTCTCTCAATAATGGTCTTCCTGACACTTAAGTATGAACCAATCTTGTCCAGAACCCAGATTTTTGTCTTCCTGTCTTTCCAGGATACTCCCAAAAGCCTCCTGTAGCACTACATCTCAAATGAATCTATCCCCTTCTTGTCGTTCTTTGTCATTGCCCAGGATTCACACCCATATGTGGCAATTGAGTAAATGTTAAACAGGTTCGGGGATAATATGCAGCCCTGTCTCAGCCCTTTTCCTATCTTACCATTCAGTGTTTCCACTATTTGTCCTGACTGCAGATTCCTGATCGTCATATAATTGGCTGATAAGGTCAATTTATTATAAAATTGTAAAAATAATATCGTTATTTGTACAATTTATCATAAAATAACTTATTAAAAGCCTTGGAAAATATTTCTTTAATAAACGTTACAGTATTGACCCATTAGATTTGAAGTGGAGTGAAAGAAACCATACGGATTTCAATGCCAAGACTGTAGAGTAAACCTCAACAATCAAAATTTGTCATCAGCTGAAAGATCAGTACTCGTCCTAGGCTTGAACTTAGCTACGGCACCTTCACCTATACCGAAATAAGAGATAGTCCAGCGAGTAGAACCTTCACTAACTAAAGTTAGACAATACTTTAGCAGACAACATCCGTATGCAGATTTCTCAACTGAATGCATTGAAAAGTCTCTGTGCTGACCCTACTATCCATATTTTACCAGCGGACAAGGACAATGCAACGGATGTCGCTCAGTACAATGAGAAAATCTTGCATCTCTTGAACACCCCTACGTACAGTATAGGAGGATCAAGAAAGACCAGACTAAAGCCACCGAAAGGAGGGTTACAAGCAAGTTACTCGAACTACATCATTTGGAGGCACTCTCGAAGCCACTGTACCATCAACTCCGACCTTCAGCACCCATATGCCCGAGACTATTCAGACAACCAAAAATTCATAAAACGGACATTCAACTATGGTGCATCGTTCCTTCATGAGGATCACCAACCTACCCTCTCGCCAAGTATCTTGCTAGGATACTGTATCCACTGGTAGGCAACAATGGCTTTTGTTTTAGCCTTTCACAAGCAGTCTTCTCACTGGTCAGTTTATCCATCCAATCACCATCCAGCCTCTCTACCCAAACATATAAGTATATCTCTGTTTGGAGTTTCTGCAGATATTATCCTCCTGAAGACGATTGAAGCAAATAAATCGAAACGTCGAGACTTTCTCAACTAAATCAGTTCTTTTCAGAACTACCTACATGGTGTACCGCAAGTTTCAAAATATATGTTATTATTTCGCCATGCAAACCTTCAAACAATACTTTAAACATTTTTGTCACAAAATCAAAATTTTCTATCATTAAAAAAAAAGAGAAAAAATGTGTGTCTTTGGTCTTTGTTTTGTAGACACCCATATAGGGTGTCTATAAAACAAAGACCCTTAAGTATTTCTTAATATTCCTCATTTTATTCCGATGAAATAATAAAATAAGTACTTGGCAACTGTTTTATAATGATTTTGAAATACTTTCAATAAGATAATTGAGAAATAATTGGAGGTCTTCATTTTTCGGGTCTTCTGACACCCATATTGGGTGTCTATAAAACAAAAACCCTTGAAAATTTCACAAAGAGATGCCCAAAAAAAATAATTTTGATTTTGTGAAAGCTTGGTATATTATCATCAAAATAAAGGATAAAAAATAGGGGTCTTCATTTTTGGGTCTTCGGTCTTTGTTTTATAGACACCCGTACTAGCAGAAACTTTTACGATATAAACAACCCAATAAGACCCAATCGGTTAAATTTTGATAACGTCATCTTTGGTGACTAATCTGGTCTATTAGGAATGCATCAAAGCATTCAATCAATCAATCAAGCTTGTAAATCCTTATAATAGCGATCATAACTGAAAATACAGTTTATATTGAAGTTCAGTTGTGGTGCCAAATATTTCCCCAAAAAAGAGTCCAAACTTTCTGACAGGGAATCCACACCCACCTCAACCCATTATGGTTGGGGCTGAAGAGATAAATTTGAAGAATAGGTACCACTA